ACCCAGCTGCGGCAGGGAGCGCTGGCCACGGGGCAGGGCCGCTTTTCCACCCCCAACACTCAGCTTTTCCCCGGGCTCCTTCCCTGCTCCCTCCTGGCGCGGAGGAAAGTGGCCCCTTGCCCACCCCCTGGCCTGCGCTCCCTGCTGCAGCTGCTTGCAGCTCACGCAAGGCTGTCCTGAGCAGGCACAGGCAGCTCCACGCGGGCTGTGAGCGGCTGCAGCGTGGGGTGCCGGGCACGGGGTGGGGAGGGGCTGCTTTCCCCTGCCCCCCCCAGCACCACCTTGTAACCCAGCCCCAGCAGGTAGGAAAGGCAGCCCCTTGCCTGCCCCATGGCCAGCATCCTGTGCTGCAGCTGCTTGCAGCCCACCTGGGGCTGCCTGTGCCTGCTCAGGACAGCCCCGCGCAGGCTGTCCCCGCTGGCCACGGGGCGGGTATGGGGCCGCTTTTCCCTGTGCTCCACACCAGCTCCTTCCGTACTGGCAAGCAAGAGGTCAGGGCTGTACGCTGCCCCCGACCTGTACCGCAGGCTGGGGGGCACTGTGAGTGAGCGGGAGCATGGGACTCGCACTGGTGTCCCAGGGCCAGTCCCAGTGAGGCCCAGAGCCATCCACACACTGGCCAGCCCAGGGGAGTTAATGTTTCATGATCTTTGCCTTGATGCTGGTTATGTTAGTGGCAGAAAGGATGTTGGCATTGGTGCAGTGGTCTTCCCATCTAATGCGAACGATCTTCTTGAGGCAATGCTGATGGAACCATTCATTCCAGGTGCTTAAGATGGCTTCAATATGTCACTCATGTCTCACACCCATAGAGAAGCATGTGGATAATCACTGCATTGTAGACCAGGATCTGCAGATCTCAACTGGAAAAGGACATGGCGAAGCAGCTTTCTAAATTGGGGGGGGAAGTGACCCCTCGCTCACCCCGTGCCTGGCGCCCCTGCATGGGGCTGCCTGTGCTTGCTCCAGACAGCCCTGTGTGGGCTGCGAGCATCTGCAGCAGGGAGTGGCGGGCGAGGGGCCACTTTTCCCCATGCTCAGCACCAGCTTCTTCCCTGCCAGCGAGCAGGGGTTCAGGGCTGTGTGCTCCCCCAGCTTGTACCGCGTGGCTGGGGGGCACTGGGAGTGAGTGGGCGGGGAGCCAGTGGGAGCACGGGCCTGCACCGGGGTCCCAGAGCCAGTGCTGGCAGGGTGGCAGGAGCACAGGGTCCCAGCTGGCAGGGGCTCTATGGAGCCGGGCCAGCTCCCTCCTCTCCCTGCTGGTGCAGCACAGCCCGGCCCCACAGACCATTGCCAGCCTGTGCCCCGCTTTGGGCCCCACCAGTGCTAGTCCTGGGACATTGGTCCCAAGATGATGACCAGGGGGTGGGGCACCTGTCAAGGGGCGGGGCTACCCATGCGGCCCTTGAAAGCCTGCCAAAACTGGGTAAGTGGCCCTCCGCCCGAAATAATTGCCCGTCCCTGGGTTAGAGGAAAGGAAAGACCCCAGGGAAGTCATTTGAAACAAACAGGGATATGAAAATGAAAGTGGACAAGAGGCCTGAGCGACAACACAGCAGTGGGCTGAAAGTGGATTTAAACCACCAGCCAAAATGCCTCAGGACACAACAGTAAAGGAACAGGGAGAAGGGTGGGACATGTCTGATCTCACACAGATCTGGGGGGGAACAAGAAGCAGAACATTACCCAGGGAAACAAGGGCTTGGTAATTCCTCAGCATCTGGTCCTGGTAAAGACCCTTGTCTCCAGCTTCCAGGAGCTCCCACTCCTCCCGTGTGAAAAACACAGCCACGTCCTCAAAGGCCTCCAGGATCTGCAGTCACAAGCATTACACCATCAGCATCTCCTCCATCAGCCTCCTCAAACCTGAGTCCCTCATCTATCACAGGTGTTCCAGCAAAGGGTAGCATGGATACAGCTCTATTCACAGAGCAGTGCATTTGTCTACTTCAGCTCACATCACCCAGGGAGTTGGCACAGCTCTTCCCTCAGTCAGAATATGCTGTCCCTACCAGGGAGGCACTGACTTCCTAACAACACCAACAGAGACTGCAGTTCAGGCACCCTGAGTCTGCCCTGGGTAAGATGTTTTCACACCCGTGACTCACAGGGAGAATATCCTGCCTGGGAATGGGGACCTGGAGAATTCACCCTTCTCCACCAGACACCAGCCAGCACATGCTGGGTGTTGGTGGTGTCAGGATTCTTCATTTTTCCCCACAAAGCTCTGAGGTGGAGCTCTGCAGGCTCCAAATTGCAAGAAACTTCCTTCCCCCACAAAACACAGGGAACCTCCCTGCTGATCTCCTGCATGATCTGGGTCTGCTGCAGACATCCCTGTTCTGTCCGACCGTGGAGAGGAAATGAAGGGCAGAGGAAGGAGTAGAGCCAGGAAGGGGGAATGAGGATTCCCAATGGCCTGGGAGGGGATGAAGCAGGTAGGACTCAGTATAAACTCAGCCTAGAAGCAGGGGGAAGAGGGAGCTGTGGCATTCCAACACTATGCACAGAGATGAAGATATCACAGCTCCACAAAACACAAAGCATCCATTTTCCTTGGGTACATGTCATGCCTGTGGACTTGGAAGAGGTCCTGCAGATATAAGCAACTCTGGGAATTTGTCTTTAATCCCAGACAGACACTGGTGCAAGGCGACCGGCATTTACTTCCCTTTCTGGCAGGTTGATCCTGAACTTTCCTCCAGGAGACAGGATCCTGCCCGGGCACTGGCTGGGCCGGAAGAACTCTGCTGGACTTAGGTGCAGACCCCTCCATACCTCTCGGGGGGGACCAGGTGGGCTCAGCTGAGAAGACCCTCACTCCGTGCTCCCTGATGGTGGCAGGGAGCCACAGAGTGCCCAGAGAGGCTCTCTCCTGGGACTCCTAGTCTTAAAATACTCTCTTGACGTACCCCTTAGAGGAAGCTGAAGCAGTTCTTCCAGAGACAGGGACTGCTGGACCCACAGATGCTGAGAGCAGCATTTCTAGTCCCAGCCTCCCAGACTAGCTGTACTTGGCAGCAAGCTCCTGCTTCCCCTCAGACCCTTCCTGCTAGCTCAGTTTGAATGCAGCTACTCTTGCTGGTATAGCTTCCTCTTGCGGCTCTTGAGGTCTCTCAGCTCCTCTGGCTCTTCTCTGCACCTGCAACTCTTGCCAGGCTTTTCCCTGGATCCACACTCATACCCCACTGCACCACGTACCTTGCTCATGGCCACGTTTTCTCTCTGCTGTGAACATTTGCCGTGCTTCTCATGAATTTGGCCTGGCTCAGGTGTCAGGGGTTCCTTCTCCCCAAATCTTCCTGGGAATAGCCTCAGCAGCTCCAGGTTTCCAGGCTCATCCTCAGGAGACTGCTCCTCAGCTGAGCTCAGAGTCCCTGCACCTGCTGGGAAAGGAAGAGCATCTGTAGGTTGTAGCCTCACTGGAATGTAGATTAACATTTAGACGCTGCTCGCACAAGGGTTTTGCTAAACATTGGCCAGAGTAGGCTTGATCAGTGAACTTGAACAATGCCTGCACTCCTCCCATAAACAAACCTTTGCATGTGGGCCAGAGGATGGTAGGGGGAGACTTCTGTGAAAGGTGGAGAATAGTCCAATACCAGGATGATAAGGCTAAAATGGAAACCAACAGAGCAGGATGTGGAGCAAGCCCACTGTAGAGGACAGCTCGAGATAGTCAAGATATTGGTGGAATGTAACGCATAATGTGTTTTGACCACTGTATTAACGGAGAATTAGAAGTGAAGGGATCTTTGTATTGGCCTAGGGGTGCCTGCATGGTGTTGTGCCAATGCCTTGTCATGGGCATAGGTGCATTACTACCTTTTCAGTCAAACCACAAATGTGTTAGGGCCATGTTTTGTAGACAATAAACCTAGCCAATCCTCTTCCACTAAACCGAGGCTGTGGTCATTCTTTAAGACCAATTTGGTGTTGGGATATCCTGCAGTCCCTGAGACTTTAGTTTGTACCACACGTTCAAATTCAAGGTTGAGAGAAACCAGCTATAATGTTGTTACACATTTTGAAACACTAACTATGTAGCTGGTTGGGTCTATTTTATAGCTGAATGTATATTTTTATGTTATGGCAATTCCTTTGCACATGTGGTTGATCCAGATTTATTGTTTAATTAGTCAGTGAACTGTGTGATAATTACTTTACACATATGGCCAGTCTAAATTTATTGCACAGTAAATATGGTAATATATTTAAAAAATATGGTAATATATATAAAGTACAGCAGTGGCCTTCAACACAGAAAACACATCAATAACACCTGACTAACGGGAGTAGTCCTTGGAATAGCCAGGTATTGTCAGCGCGCAAAGAATGGTTCCTAGATGAGTGCGGGTACAATTAAAACTACACCATTCTCATAAGCAGATCATGGAAAAAGAAATGTAAGTAGGGCTGGAAGGGACCTCCACAGCGCATCTAATCCAAACTCCTACTTAAGACACAGTAGGTGCATCTACACAAGATACTTATTGTGCATTAGCCTAATAACACTGCTCAGTACTGTGGCAGTCAACAACTGTGCTAATAGCCTACTGCTCAGTGTTATCAGGCTAATGAGCAGTAAGCATAATAACATAAATGTGCGCCAGTGCTACTGTACAGTAACTCTAGTTACTAAGCATAGAGTTAGTACTTCATTAAGCATGTACTAAACTAAATGTGCAGTAATTAAGACACAATAATGAATGTGAAGATGTGCCCAGTCATCCCTATCCAAACCATCCCAGACAAGTCCCTGCCTAACCTATCCTCCTAAAGGTACACAATCACCCTGTTGCACAACTACTGTCCCTGCATCACTGAAATGCAGGAAGTGGGCACACAACTCTCTCAACAACGCAGATCTGACTAAGCTCTGTGATGCCAGGACCTTGTGGCAACACAAGGCAACTGTTCAGGTTTCCAGTTCCTCCTGAGTATTGAGAGGTTCTCAGTTGAAGTGTGGGTGGAAGGGGTCAGGGACTGTCAAGACTCACCTGGGGAGAAGTCCTCAGACAATGAGCTTTCTCCAGCTTCCTCATCATCACAGACCCAGAGCTCCATCTCCCCTAGCTGCATGCGGCAGATTAAGTCTGGTGCAGGACCTTGCAATCCTGTGTCAGGGAGAGTATAGAGGATGGTTATTCCACCATCCAGTATGTAATTGGGAGTTGGAGAAAAGATCCAGTGGACTTAAACATTTGAATGGGACTCACAGGAGATTGAAAGGAGGACATGAACAATAAAAGAAAGGTCACTATAGGTAGAAGCTTTCAACAGATCGTGGCTTTGGTCACCCAAGTAAGTGGAATGATGGTCGTATGAAATATAAAATATCAACCCCTCATAAAGCTCACAGTGGCATCAAGGAAGGTGGGCTGAGATGCAGTGATTTGTGAGGTGTAAGGAGAAAGAAAAAGAATGCTCTTATAGATTTTCAAGATATTGTTTTGAAAAGAGAGACCGTGAACATACACATGACAATATATTCAACTGGTCTTATTAGAATAATTCCAGGAGAAAAAAAACCCAGAAATGGGTTTAGTCTCAATAAAGGTTTTCAGTGATACGTCTTTGAAGTGAAGAGTCAATGACAGACTGATGACAATGAAAACTTGCATATGGGAGAAAAAAGTAATTCCTGTTTGCACTGCACAGAAAAGGATGATGTTCTAACAATGGCAGGCAACTATCCCAATCTTTTCACCCAGTGGGTGGATCCTTATAGGAGGTGCTCCATAGATTCAGGTGTACTTAGGATACAAACTGTTTCTGTTGTAGATGTGGATGAAAGAAGGAAGAAAGCACATTTTTACAGAATGAGAAAGCCCATAGTATGACACTGGTCAACCCATTTTCCCAGGAAAAGGATAATGATTAAATCACCCCCACAAGAGATGGTCATTCAGTAAAAATAGGTTGCAGAATGGCTAGAAGTAGAGCCAAACCAAACTCAAAGCCCAATACCTTGTGAGGGCAACATGGTCCCAAACACTATCATACTTCCTGACTTTCTGCTATGCTCAAAGATAAAATAAAGAAAGGGAATATCAGGGAAAGGAAGAAATGGTGGAATTTAGCTTAAACAGAAAGCCTGGGCTTTGTAACAAAAGTTGACCAGCAGTCTTACAATACAGAGAGCTTATGCAGATTCAGTTTAGGATTCCGGGAAGGTAGCTTTCATTATAGCTGCTGAAGATGTATTCGGTGAAACCCAAGCACATAAGAAACACCAGATGGGAAATGGAGGTTTCAAGTAAATAGAAACAGGAATGGGTTTGGAGCACGTCCTTTATGCAGAAAAGCCAGGTGCTATTAAATGCCGGTACAAGAGAAGCAGCACTGAAAGGCTTGTATGAAACACGAGAGGGCATTGGTGACATGTAGGGGGTGCACACGGGTGCACGTGCACCCCCTGGAAGCACCAGCTGCGAAACCAGAAGTGCCCCCGCCCAGTTGGCGATCTGGTGCCCCCAGACTCGGAAGGCATCAGTCGCCCATGCAGAGGGGATAAAAAAACAAATTGATATGCTGGCTTAAGACCATAATGATGAAACAAAAGACTTGGGTAATGTTGTATCCAATACTATTAGTGATTAGAAAAGGGGATTAGCATGTGCCCTAAAAGAAATCTTGTATTTTGAGACTCTGTAGAAAGTAGAAAGTCCTAGAGACTGTTTACATCCCGTGACACTGGTTGTGAAGTTGAAATTCCAGGTGACACTGCAAAGGAAACAAGGAAAGTAGTATGTAAACTGAAACAAAGAGTGAGAGAGACAGAGAGAGAGAGAAAAGAAGAGAGAAAAAGAACAAAAAAGAAAGAAAAGAAATTAAATAGCAAGATAAAAGACTTGAAATGGAAGTTGAATAAATATAATATGACTTTTATCTTTGAAACAGAAAGAGGGTAACTACCAAAGTTCCAATGACAGCAGAATAAAAATGACCAGGCCACTCATGCCAACTTTCTTTAAAAAAAATACTTAGGAGGTGAAAAGTAGTTTTCACCTGAGCTCTGCACTCAGCCTTTAAGCACAAGGATTGGGGGGGGCACCAAAGACGATCTTAAATGATCTGTACCAGGGGTCATGTGATTTTTGCAAAGAGACTTCCCAAAACAAAGAGCAATTCTAGCAGAAAAAGAAAACATTATAGAATGGCAAAGCAAGCTATGGTCCATGGTGATGAGGATGCTAGAAAGAAATGTGTGAGAGAACTTACAAGGGCTCCTCATTAAAAGCACCCGCGTTCAGTCATGTGCACGAGTGTCACTAGAGAAGCTGAGGAAATGGAAAAGTCATGGGTTGCAACAGCAACTGCTGCTAATACTTCTATTGCTTACTACCCAGCGTAAGTTAAAAAGGAAGAGTAAGGGGATTCAAGGTACAAACAGATGTTGCCAAACAGTTTGGCACAGTGGAGCTGGGGGGGTAGAACAAGAACCAGAACATTACCTAGGGAAACAAGGGCTTGGTAATTCCTCAGCATCTGGTCCCGGTAAAGACCCTTGTCTCCAGCTTCCAGCAGCTCCCACTCCTTCCGTGTAAAATACATGGCCACATCCTCAAAGGCCTCTGGGAGCTGCAGTCACAAGCATTACACCATCAGCATGCCCCAGCCTTCTCAAACCTGAGTCTTAGCCATCAGCTGTCACAGGTGCTACAGCAAAGGATAGTGTGGATACAGCTCTACGGACAAAGCAGTGCATTTGTCTGCTTTAGCTCACATTATCCAGGGAATCAGCACAGCTACTCTCTCTGCATATGCTATGCCAATAACGGAGGCACTGCCACCACTGCCACTGTATCAACACCAGCAGAGACTACAGTCCAGACACCCTAAGTCTGCCCTGGGGAAGCTGTTTTCATGGCAGTGACTCATAGGGAGAATGCCATGCCTGGGCGGGGGACCCTGGGAATTCACCCTTCTTCACCAGACACCAGCCAGCAAACACTGGGTGTCGGTGGTGTCAGGAATCTCTTTTTGCCCATGAGTGGGGAGCTCTGCAGGCTCCAAATCCCAGGTTAACCACCCCCCGCCATAAAACACAGAGAACCTTGCTGCTGATCTCCTACATGATCTGGGTCTGCTAGACATCCCTGTTCTGTCTGGCCGTGGAGAGGAAATGAAGGGCAGGGGAAGGAGTAGAGCCGGGAAGGGGGAATGAGGATTCCTAATGGCCTGGGACCCACAGATGCTGAGACCAGCACTTCTTGTCCCAGCCTATCTGTACTTGGCAGCAAGCTCCTGCTTCCCCTCAGGCCCTCCCTGCTGGCTCAGTTTGAATGCAGCCACTCTTGCTGGTAAGACTTCCTCTTGTGGCTTGAGGTCTCCGAGCTCCTCTGGCTCTTTCCTGCATGCCCAACTCTTGCCAAGCTTTGCCCTGGCTCCATGCCCATGCCCCACTGCAGCATGTACCTTGCTCACAGCCATGTTCTCTCCCTGCTGTAGGTGCCTGCCCTGCTTCTTATGCACTTGGCCCAGCTCAGGTGTCAGGGGTCCCCTCTCCCCAGATCTTCCTGGGAATGGCCTCAGCAGCTCCAGGGTTACAGGCCTGTCCTTAGGAGGTTGCTCCTCAGCTGTGCGCAGGGTCCCTGCATCTGGTGGGAGAGGAAGAGCACCCGCCGGTTGTCGCCTCACTGGAACATTGATCAACATTTATATGCTGCGTACACAAAGGCTTTGCTAAACATTAGCCAGAGTAGGCTTGATCAGTGAACCTGAACAATACCTGCACTCCTCCCATAAACAAAACTTGGTATGTGAGCCAAAGGATGGTAGGGGGAGACTTCTGTGGAGAATAGTCCAATACCGGGATGTAAAGGTTGGAACAGAAACCCACCGAGCAGGATGTGGAGCAAGCCCATTGCACAGGATATCTCAAGATAGTTAAGATACTGGTGGAATGTAACAAGTAACGTGTTTTGACTACTGTATTAAAGGAGTATTAGAAGAGAAGGGAGCTTTGTATTGGCCTAGGGGAGCCTGCATGTTGTGTGGCAATGTCTTGCAATGGTACATTACTACCTTTTCAGTCAGATCATGACTGTGTTAGGGCCACGCCTTGTAGACTAGAGAATAAACCTGGCTGAACCTTTTCCACTGAACCGAGCCTGTGGTCATTCTTTAGGACACAACTGGTGTGGTATCTCCTGATGGCGACTTTTTGCTAGCAGCACACCTTGAGAGTTCAGACCCTGCCACACATACAAATTCTAGCTGGAAAGAAACCAGCTATAAAGTTTTATACATTTTCAAGCACTAACCTTGTAGCTGGTTGGCTCTTTTTATAGCTGGATGGACATTTCTATGGCATGATATTTACTTTGCATGTGTGGCCAATGAAAATACAGTAAAAGCTGTGTTATCAAGCACTTTATTAACCAGCATGCTCTATTAACTGGCATGCCAGTTGATGCGGCAAAAGCGAAACCGGAAGTCCCACTTCCGGTTTCACTGAGTCCCACTTCACCAACTTCAGGCCACAGCCCGGGGCAAAGCAGTGTGCGCGGGGCCTCCCTCCCTGTCTCCCGGCACAATGACACCAGGGAATGAAAGCCTGGAGCACTGGACGCAGTGGAAGGGGCGGCAGCCCAACCAGGCAAAGATGCATGTCAGGTAACCAGCATATTTGGTTATCTGGCACCCCCCATTCCCCATGGGTGCCAGATAACAGAGCTTCTGCTGTATATTGTGTGATTACCCAGTGAATTCTGTGATTATTATATTGCATGTTGTGGCTGGTCTGAATTGTTTGCGTGACTGATTAATAAATTATAAAATATATGTAATGTGTGGCAGGGTGTGGCGGGGATGCTGCCATGAATCAAAACTTACCTTTGCCGCTGGAGCGACAAGAAAAGCAGCTGCCGCTGAGTGCTGCAGAAGATCAAAACCCCCCTGCTGGCACCAGAGATGGGAGGAGAACGGCAGATGGAAAACACCGCCAGGGGTCAGGTATGTGCCCCAGAACTGGCATGGGCACGTTTTGTAGCTGTGTGCCAATGCCAGTTTGCCAACCAGCCCTCAGAAAGCGGGATAAGAGCCCCACTGACCCGCATTCAGGGAGGACCAGAAATGACGCTTCCTGAGCGCCTGGCGTGGTATGAAACGGACAATTGCCCCAGTAGGGGCGAGTGGTGGCAACCCCAAGAAGCGGGATGCCCTGCTAAGGCTAGCTTGGAGGAGCCACGGTACTTACCTCTCTTCAGACTGTGGATCCTGAATGACACTGGCAAAGACAGGGACAGTGGTGAACCTATAGAGAGGGAAAAAGGAGAAAGGATACGAAAGCTGTGAGTAGCCCCTGGAGGGGAGAGAGAGTGCCATGAGAGAAGGTACCCCCAGGGTGAACACCATAAGGAATCAGGCCAATGGGAGGCCTAGCAAAAGGACAGTACATCACCCAAACCGGGACCAAGATTAGATAAGAGCCAAAGGCCCAGCCGTGGCAAACTGACTTTGCTTTAGCCTTGGCCAAGGACTAACAACATCACTGGTTGGCGCAAGGCAGGGGTGTAGGGGAGGTGGAGCCCCGAGACAACGACCTAAGCAAGAGACCAAAGAGGCAACCAGGAGAAGCTGGATTGGAGAACTCCCTCCCAGAAATAATCCATAACATCAAAGATGTGGCAGGCAAGAACCTCTGGGGACCCTTTTAGGAAATCTTGCTGGAGGGCAAGCTGTCAACCCAAAAGGAGACAGCTGCATCCGAACGGCCTGAAAAGGCAAAGCGGTCAAGCGAACATCACGGGCGATTACACAGGGGCTTTCAACACTGATAAGACGACAATAACACCCAACGAGGACAGGGATGATGACACAGGTTAGCCCTAGTGCTACTGCCAAAAGCACAGTGCTGCTAGTTCCCCTGTGTTGGTGTGTACCTAAGTCAACTCCCAGGCCTCAATGCATGGGAGAGGAGAGAGATGGAATAGTCAAAGTCCCACAGGTCTTCTAAGGGCCCTGCTACATGTTTCATATATAATGCAATTAACTGGTGAATCATGCAATAAATTGAAGTCGGCTACACATACAAAGTAAGACCAGCCACAAGAGGAAAGTAATTATCACACCAGTAATTGTTGAATGTGCAATAAATTCAGACCAGCCACATGTGCAAAGTCATTATCAAGTAATAAAAATGAGTACCCTGCTATCAAGAGAGCCATCCAGCTATAAAGTTAGTGCTTCAAAATGTGTAACATTTCATTACTGGTTTCTATCCAGCTTTCATTTGAACTTGTAGCAGGGCCTTTCTAATAGACCTCCATGAAGCTTGAAATGAGCCCCAGTGACACTGCCTTTGCTCAGAGTGGTAAGCACAGACATAACTCCTTGCAGGAGATGCAACAGGGACCCTGGTGCTGAGTCAAGATCCACACTGTAGAGGACGAGAAAGGAACCAACAGGTCCACTTGCTCCAGGGGCTGAGGATGGCTTTTAGGTGGATGCTAGGAGAACAGGCAACTAGCTGACTTGACCCCCAGCAATAAACTTGAGCAAACAAGTTTTCTGCTGACAGGCAGTGCCTCCTGCTGCTGGAAAAGGCAGAACTGCTGCCTCTTACCTGCCCCTAGTGAAGAGCCTTGTTTGGGTCAGCAGCCCAAGGAGCTTTCATCTGTTAACAAGTCCCAGGTCTCCTCTGCATCAGGAGACTCTGCAGCAGGACAGAGGCATGGGGTTAAATGTAAATTAAAACCAGTCCAAAGTCACTAGGAAAACGCACTGCCCAGATACCCACACCAGTCCATTCTTGGGCACAGAGGGCTCGTGGCAGGCAAGACAGAGGAGTGACCGGGACTCCGGCATTGACAATGACCACAGTAGCACTTAATGTAACCACAAAAAAACTGCCAGCGTCTGCTCCCAGAAGGCTTTGCATAGCCCCCAAGTTTGCTAAAAGGCCACTAGCTGGTTAAAGCGGCACAAAGCCACTGCAAGTTCTGTCCAAGTGGAAATGTTGCTAAGGCCAGGCGAGAAGACAATGTGCAGAAAGCGGGAGAAGCATGATAATGAAAGCCTACCGGTCTGGGTGTATTTATGAAGACAGGATTTAAAAAAAAACAAACCCCAATGGTGAAAACTCAATAATGCAAATACTTTATTTTAAAGGGCCAGAAGCAGTAGCAATCTTCATGCAGAAAATGATAAATAGGTAAGTAACAGAAGGCATAAAACAGTTCGGAAAAAAACGAGCATTGGCCTACTAGACAGCTGGGCTGCTAGACAATGCCCCTGAACATCCCAGAGGGACCCTGGACTGTCTAATCAACAGGACAGGGAGCAAGAGTTGCTGGCAAGGTAACTAATGTATTTCCAGGTATGGGAATGCACATCAGATGCTGAATAAACATACATGAGTGCAGAGAAAACTCCTGCCTCTGGAGCATTCTCTCTCTCACCAACCCACTGGTTCCCCAGTCCCAGGTTTCAAAATAACACGATGGGGATAAAGGATCTTCCTACTGGGTGCTGCTATCAGATCTGAACTGCCTGGGGACATAGATCACCCCATAGATCACCCTGTCACCCCATAGATTACAGCGAGAGATTCCAGCCCCTCGCTCCAGGGGCTGAACAGCCAGGCAGGAGCCAGCATCCGGGTCCCTCAGCACCTCAACCCAGGCCCCTGGCACGTTACCTGGTCGTCTTCTCTGCCTCCCCCGAGCCTGGGCCTGTGCTCTCGCTTTCCCACCGCTCACACGGAGCCTTTTGGCAGCGTCTGGGCTGCTGGCTGCCTGCGGGAAGGAGACAAGGGGGTTTAATCATGTGAAGAGGGAGCCAGACCATGACCCAGTGCCACGGATCTAATGCCCCAGCACCCTCTGGCCTCACCTGCTCTGAGGGGCCACGTGGGGGTCCTGCCCTGCCCTGCCCTGACACAGGGCGTGGGGAGTGGGAGAAATCCTGGAGCACCCCTCCAAGGAGACCCTGCAGCCCCCGAGTGGTCCCAGCTGCTGGTGCCCACCGTGCCCCACACTCCTGACTTGCTGCCAATCCCCTTCCCCTCCACCCCGGTGCCCCTCACTCTCAACCCACAGCCCCTGCCCCCACAGCCTTGCTGCAGCCCCTTCACTCACTGGTTAGGGCTGACCAGGTTTCATACATTCTGCTCTTCCCGTTCCTCCAGCCTCAAGCTTCCTCTTCCGTCTTCCCTTGCCCTGAGGGTTCCTGGGAGCTGCAGTCCAAATCCAGCTCTGCAGACTGCCCCCTCGTTCCTCCTGTTGTTACACACACATAATAATCCAAAAATGTTGTTTGATTCATTAGAAGTTTACGTCTGATTCGTAAAACAAAATTAGCCTTTCTCAGCACGTTGAGAGCGCATCCAGCACTTCCCTCGCATTTATGTCCGTGAGCAGAGAAACAGTTAGCTGTGCTAGTCTGAAATTCGGTAGAAGGCAGGGTAGATTTGCATGCTATAGACTTAGGTACCTGCCCAGGGTGTTTATAAAGTCCTTGTGCAACTTCAAACTCTAATAGCTTTGGTTGCACACATGATGGAAGCAAACTGTAAATGGCAATTGAAAGCACAATTCCTTAAGTTTTAACACAACACAGCTCAAATGTCTAAACTTCAACATAAGCACAATCTTTCGTGATACATCATTCAATCTGATCTTCCAACTCATAGAAAACATTTTCTGGTTGCTACTGAGTGATTTCATGAATCGCACTTGCGATCCTTACACTATGCTAACCGCCCCCCCCCCCCCCCCCTGCTTTCCTTTGCCCTTTACAGTTTGCTTCTATCACTGGTATATCCAAAGTTATTAAAGTTGCACAAGAACTTTATAAACAACCTGTATATCTCTACCTACATAGAAAGGGAAA